ATTCATTCATTCGGCACAGATTCCACCAATATAACTAGCATCTACTCCAGTGATGGTGAACCTTTTGAGCTCGGCGTGCCAGCATTTTGAAAAACCCTAACTTAACTCTGGTGCCATGTCACATATAGAAATTTTTTGATATTTGCAATCATAGTAAAACAAAGACTTATATTTGTGATATTTATTTTATATATGTAAATGCCATTTAACAAAGAAAAATCAACCGAAAAAATGAGTTTGCGGGTCACCTCTGACACGCGTGTCATAGGTTCCCCATCACTGATCTACTCTGTTCTGGACGCTGGGCTGGGCCCTCGAGACACAACGGAAGCCGGACAAAGGCAGCGCCTGCCCGCCTGGGGCTGGAATCAAGAAAACTGTTACAAATGTGTGGTCATCGCCGGAGACAGGCGGCAGGAGGCGAAGGCACGGCCGCCTGCCCTCTGTTACGATGGAGGCTGGCGAGTGTACGGGTCACAGGGGCCCGGAGCTGGCCTTTCTGGGTGTGAGTCCCAGCTCCGCCACTTGCTAGCTGTGGCCTTTGGGAACTTACTTCACTGCCCCATGCCTCCGTTTCCCGCCTGTCAAACAGTGCCCACCTCGCTGGGCTGCTCTGATGGGGGCCAGGTGTTACCACATGGGAAGTGTTCGTTGAGCACAGCGCCTGGCCCCGTGACTGAGCCCTCACCATCTGGCCTGTTACTACGAGGCTGCAGGGTGTATGGTACAGGGGACCACAAGTCTGTCCTCCCCCGCGAGTCCCTCTAGGGCTGGCTCGGCAGAGGCGGCACCCGTGGGGCCAAGAAATTGGGTCAGAATGAGGGGCACACTGAGCTCCCCATAAGGCCAAGATGAAGGCAGGGGCCTCAGGGAACCCCACCAAGAAATTGGGTCAGAATGAGGGGCACACTGAGCTCTCCATAATGAAGGCAGGGGCCTCAGGGACCCCGAGTTCCAGCTGCTTCACACAGGCCAGCGTCATCTCCTCTGATCACCTTCTGTCCCTCACCCCTGCCCCCCGGCCTTCACCCCCACTCAGCTCTCTTCCTGCCTCTCCCTGCCTGGCCTTTCCTGCTGGACTCGGTTCCAACTCTCTTGACCTCAATAGCACAGAGCTGAGGTTCTGAATTCCAGAAAGACTTGGAACATTTCAAAAAACTATTTTTTTATCTGGGTTCAGCAATGGCACGCGCACGCGCAGGCACACACACACACACACACACACACACACACACTCACTCCAAGTAAGAATCCATTGGAACATTTCAAAAAACTATTTTTTTATCTGGGTTCAACAATGGCACGCGCACGCGCGGGCACACACACACATACACACTCACTCCAAGTAAGAATTCATACAGCCCTAGCCGGTTTGGCTCAGTGGATAGAGCATCGGCCTGTGGACTCAAGGGTCCCAGGTTCGATTCTGGTCAAGGGCACATGCCCAGGTTGCAGGCTCAGTCCCCAGTAGGGGGTGTGCAGGAGGCAGCCGATCAATGATTCTCTCTCATCATTGATGTTTCTATATCTCTCTTCCTCTCTGAAATCAATAAAAATATTTTTTTAAAAAAAGAATTCATACATAAGTAGTGAAACTTTACTAACATGCACAGGAAGTATCAGCTCCACAGCGTGGAGACCAGTTATACTGGGGGGGAGGGGGATGCATCGGAGACGGAACTGTAAAGCAGAAGAGGAATATGGGGCTGACGGTTTGCTTTTTAACTGGGTGTAGATTATTCTCTGTGCTGTTTGATGTATCTATAATACTCTACGAGAAAATCCTTAAAAAGCTCACAAGCACCCAAAAGAAATCAGATGCTACGGAACGAAAAAGAATGAATTACTGACCCATGCAACAACATGAGCGAACCCCACAGACGTCACACTGAATGAAAGAATTCCGACACACGTACTGTAGGGCCCCATTTGTGTGACCCGGAAGGGCTGGCAAAACTAATCAGTGGTGAGAGCCGTCAGAAGGGCTCCCTCTTGGTGGGGGTACTGACTGGGATGGGGCCCAGGGAGCTTTCCAGGGGACTGGAAATTCATGTCTGGACTGGGGGGTGGGGGGAATGGCCACATGGGTGTGTATGTACGTGAAGAACCATCCAGCTGCACACAAGAGGACAGCACCTTATGGTCAATTATGCCTCAATTTAAATATTAATTAAAATGTTAAGAAAAACAGATCCTGGGCCAGATTTGGGAACCCCTTGCACTGGCTTAGGGTCATAGTAAAGGGACTGTTTTTGAATTTCTTTCCATGCCAACTGGATGTTGATTCTGTCACTCATGCATCTCTCTATCAGAACCTCCTCTGCAGGCGGTCGTGAGCGAGGTGCAAGTGCAGATACACAAAGGACATGGCAACCGGTGGGAACCCTGGCTTCGCCCTCGCTGCTGTGTGGGCTGGGCAAAGTAACGCCCGCTGGGACTATCGTCTCGTGTGCCAACGTGGTCGGGATTAAACAAGACAGTGCTCAGCACTGTGCTCGACCCCGTTAGGTGCTCAGAAACCGGGCCCGGATACTATGGCTCATGCCTTCACCCTTTAGACCAGTGGTTCTCAACCTTCCTAATGCCGCGACCCTTTAATACAGTTCCTCATGTTGTGGTGACCCCCAATTTCATTGTTACAAATTGAACATAATTAAAGCATAGTGATTAATCACAAAAACAATATGTAATCATATATGTGTTTTCCGATGGTCTTAGGCGACCCCTGTGAAAGGGTCGTTCGACCCCCCAAAGGGGTCGCGACCCACAGGTTGAGAACCGCTGGTTTAGGTGGAACGGCAGATGGCAGACAGGGAGGGCGATCCGCCCGCTTCACTTCCGCAATTCCGTGAATGAGCGGAGGACAAAGTCGCCTGAGGTACTAGGAGGTGGTTTATCACCTAACGATCTCACTTTTTAATAAAGGGAAGAGCAGGCTTCAGGCTCAGCACCGTCTACTGCCAATAGCCCTGAGCTAGAACTCGCTGCTCAGTGCTCTGAAGTTCAAGGACACCTTGAATTCCTGGCAGGTGACACTGGTTTTCCATTTCTAGGGAGGGATGAGGTAACGCGTTCGCCACTTTAAACTCATCTATTCAAGTTTTTAAAAGCGGGCCCATGTAAATGAAATAGAGAGCTTAGAACAGTGTGGGCAGAGGTAAATATGGCCAGGAGTGTGAACG